GCCACCGAGCGTGGCACTTCATTGAGTCGACGTACAAGGTCACTGAGGACCTGTTCATTGCCCAGCTGGAGGGACAGCTGACGCACCTATGTATGGGTGACGAGGAGACAGCGACTGACTACTGCAACCGAGCCCGGCGAATTCTCGCCATTATCAGGATGGCCGGCGCGCAGTACTCCACGGCGTCATACATCACCCATGTCATGCAAGGACTTTCTAGCAGCTATAACCTCCTGAAGTGGCTGTCCATGGCGCCGGGCATGAGGGCGATGCTCAACGAGGACAACCTGACCTCGTACATCCTGCAGGACGAGGCGATGCAGGAGGCTGAGCGGTCACAGAAACTCTTGGCGCAGGCCAACTTCGTCTCCCCGACAAGGCAAGGAGGCCGACCAAGACAGCGTGGGCAGTCGGGAGGCGGCGGTAGTAGTGGCTGGAAGCCGAGCACGGACGCCGACAAGAAAAAGTCAGCCACGGATCGCGGTCGCGGAGGAGGAAGTCGACGTCGGGAGTGCTGGCTGTGCGGCAACCCCAACCATCTCTCCTTCGAGTGTCCCAACCGCGGTGACTCCGATGACGACGATGCTAAGGGAGTCCGTGGGAGGTCTGGCAGCCGTCGTCCTCGTCGTGGAGGAAACCAGCCGCGCAAGGAGAAGCAGTCGACCAAGACATCGACTTCGGCGAAGGATCCTGACTCCCCTGCTGGCGGCAAGGGGCGAGATGACAAGACGTCGTCGTACTCGCTGGTCGGCGTCATGGAGCCGTCCATCTCTCTGGCACCGGAGGCCGGAGAGGACTTCCAGGCGGTGGCAGCAGCTGTGCAGGCGAACCCGGCGGTGGTCCTGCTCGACAGTGGTTGCTCCCACCACCTGATGGGGACGAAGGAAGCCTTCGTCAACTTGCAGCCGGGCGGCGCCATCAGGCATGTGCGCAGCTTCAATGGGGCGCTACAGGATGTCCAGGGCCGCAGCACCGTCGCTCTGCAAGGAGAGGCCGGGAAGGAGGTGCTCATCCCTGACGTGTTGTACGTCCCAGGTGTGCGAGCCAACCTGCTGTCGACAAGCCAGCTGAAGGAGCATGGCGTGAAGCTGCAGGAGGATGGAGACGGCATGCTGCTCGTCTCGGCAGCAGGGGAGGTGCTCGGGCGGGCGGCGTACTCCGGGCGAGTCCTCTGTACCGACCTGCGTCCCTGCGCGACGAGGTTGACGCCGCCCACGACGGAGGTTGTGGCTCTGCGGGTGATCATCTCGAAGACAAAGTCGACGCCAGACCGGATGCATGCGAGGCTTGCGCACGTCGGCATGGACACCAAACGGAGCTCGGCGAAGAACGAGGTCGCCATTGGGCTGGTCCTCAAGTCGGCGACGGACGCCGACTCCCCATGTATCTCGTGCGTCGGCGGGAAACTGGCGCGACACACCTTCCCCGACCACGGCTCCGACGCCGACGACGTGCTGGCTGTCGTGCACATCGACCTGTGCGGGCCGTTTCGCGTGGCTGCCAAGGATGGCAGCCTGTACTTCTTGCTGCTGAAGGACCGCAAGACCCGCTACGTGTGGGTGAAGCCGGTTGCCAAGAAGTCTGATGCGTTGCAGGCGCTCGTGCAGTGGCTGGCGGTGGCTGAGCGGTAGACGAAGAAGTCAGTGTTGATGCTGCGCTCTGACCGGGGAGGGGAGTTCCTCGGGAAGCAGTTCACCGACTACGTGAACGGCAAGGGGATCGTCCACGACCTGACCTGCCCATACACCCCGCAGCAGAACGGCATGGCGGAGCGGGAGATGAGGATGTTGAACAAGGAAATGAAATGACTAAGAATGAATTGGGTACAAATATGGAAACCTAGAAATGTGTACCCCCTATAGGCTAACCCACTGTAGCCTAAACAACTACAACAATAGATATATTGTTTGACACACCCCCATAGGCGAACTGGGGGAGAACTAGGGGTCACAAGACCAGTCAAGTAAAGCAAAGCAAAGCAAAGCAAGCTCAGGGTGGATCACAATGTCACCACACAATCCGAGCACAAGTTCAAGGCCACAAGGCCAGTTCACATGCAGGAGTACATATATATATAAGACTAAACAAGCAAGAGCAGTGAGATATATATGTAACAGTACAAAGAGGATCAAGAGGAGAGCAAGTGAGGCAAGACAGACACAAGACCCAGCTAGGTACAGCAGCGCTGATGATCACAAGGCGGAAGTGCCTTGGTGAAAACATCAGCAGTGTTGGCCTCAGAGGCTACGTACGCAAGTCGCAACTGACCACGCTGCTGTAGCTCACGAGCAAGGAAGTAGCGGAGAGCAATGTGCTTTCTTCTGTGCTCCTGTCTCTGCTCTCGACACAAGGCCAGCATGGCCTTGTTGTCGACGTACAGGACTGGAGGAGAACGAGGCGGCTCTCCAAGGTCGGTCAGCAGGTAGGTGAGCCAGCGCAGCTCCTGGGCAGCCATAGCCCCGGCGTAGATCTCAGCCTCACAACTGGAGCCGAGAACAGAAGACGAGCGGGTAGCCCGCCACGAAACAGAGCCGGAACCAAGGCTGAAGGTGTAACCCTGTGACGACCGCTGCGTAGCCTGGTCGTCAGCCCAAGAAGCGTCTGCGTGTCCAGTGAGGACCACTGGACTCCGCCCTCCAAGCACTAGTCCCATGCCCGACGTACTGCACAAGTAGCGCAACACCCTCTTCGCTACATCCATGTGCTCCAGTCGGTGTCTCCCAGGAGCAACATAGCGCGCAAGAATGCTAAGAGGGTATGCAAGGTCAGGTCGAGTGCAGGTCATCAGGTACATGAGACAGCCAACAAGCTCTGGGTACGGGCCACTCGACTCTACGGACTCATCCGAAGGCAGAGCTGAGAGCGAGTGGCGAGTAGGCAGAGGAGTGGCCTGAGGCGAGGAGTACGTGAAGCCGAAGCGCTGAAGGACCTGCTACACCATGTGTGACTGAGTCAGGGTAATGGTGCGGCGTGCTCTGTCCCGGGTTATCTGCAAGCCAAGGTAGCTACGCAGTTCACCCAGGTCAGTGCACGTGTGTCTCTTCTGCAGCTCGGACTTTACGTAGGCGAGTGCAGCAGTGTTAGCAGTGGCAAACACTAAGTCGTCGACGTACACGAGTATGTAGAACGTCGGCAGAGAAGTGTCGGTGCGCAGAAACAGCGACGGGTCGGCAGTAGAAGGAGCAAACCCAAGTGCTGCCAGCGTAGCCCTCAGTGTGTTGTGCCACTCACGCGGCGCCTGGCGGAGACCGTAGACTGGACGCCGGAGACTCCACAAGGTACCAGGAGAGAAAGACCCAGTTAAGCCAGATGGGCGACGTAGCCAGATCTCCTCGTGCAGGCTGCCCAGCAAGAAAGCTGTGCTGAAGTCGAGAGAGTACAGCTCGTAGTCCCGGTGAGCAGCAACGTGCAGCATTACACGAAGAGTGGTCATCTTCGGGGTGGGGGAGAAGGTCTGATAGTCAACTCCCTGCCGCTGACTGAAGCCACGAGCCACGTAACGCTCCTTGAAGACAGGCGGAGAACCCGGCGGCTGCTTCACCCTGAAGATCCACATGCCACTGACGATGTTGGCCCCAGGAGGAGGGACAGCGTCAATGTAGGTGCGTGTGGACTTCCAGGAAGCCATCTCTGCATCCATAGCTGCCTGCCACTGAGAGGAGTAGGGACCCTCTATCGCCTCCGCGTAAGAGCGCGGAGTCGGGATGTCTAGTGCATCCGGGTCTCCCTCAGGGGCTAGCAGTACGGACGCGAGATGAGGTAAAGCGGCAGCCAAGCACTGAAACTCCTCCTGCCTGTCCTCAAGGACGTCCGTGCCAAAGGCACACGCACCCCCGACGGACGGAGGACAGACAGACTCAGACTCAGCGACAAGACTAGCAGCGTAGTCTAGACGACAGCGAGCAGCAAAGTCGACGAGCTCAGTAACGAGGGCAGACGCAGCAAAAGACTCGAAGGAAGGGTCAGTGACAGCAGTAGCAAGGAGACGCGTGACAGTAGGACTGGCAGCACGAAGAGAGTCCGACGTAGGGTCGGCAAGAGTAGGAAGAGAGGACGTAGGAGGAGAAGGCAAAGGAGCACGCAAAGGAGCAGTAGACGGACGCAGAGACATCCGGTGCGTGCCGGGGGCAGGAGGAGGACGCTGACGCGAACTACGAGCACTAGTGCTAGCAGGACGGACAGGTGACGCTGGGCGAGACGCAGGCTCACGACGCTCAGTAAGACCGTCCGTAGGACCAGAGTAAGGAGAAGGAGCAGGCAGTGACTGGACGGGCTGTGGACACACTAAAGGAGGAGGAGGACCAGGAGGAGGCGAGAGACTAAGAACCTGCTGAAGGAGCGGAACGAAGTACGGCTGAGGGCGCGCGGCGACTCCAGACACAGTAGGGACAGCACCGGTGTCCCCAGCGGCAGTACCGACGCCCGAGTCCGCAGCACCTGCAGGGACTCCAACACCAGGGTCCTCAGCACCAGTCGCAGCTCCAACGCCCGGGTCCTCAGCACCAGCAGCAGCTCCCACGCCCGGGTCCGCAGCACAAGCAGTAGCTCCAACGCCCGGGTCCGCAGCACCAGCAGCAGCTCCAACGCTCGGGTCCGCATCACCAGCAGCAGCTCCAACGCCCGGGTCCGCAGTACTAGCAGTAGCTCCAACGCCCGGGTCTGCAGTACTAGCAGCAGCTCCAACGCCTGGGTCCGCAGCACCTGCAGCAGCAGGGTCCGTGAGACGATTCGCGTTGGAGCTACTGCTAGTGTGCAACGGCGCTCGTACCACTCACGGATCCGCTCACGAGAGGGGAGCTCCCGACTAGAAGGAGAAGTACCAGTACCAGTCTCCGTAGCACGCCTAGTCCCAGAGTTACCTCTCCGGAGGCTACAGTACTGTAAGTACCACTCACGCAACTGCTCCGAGGAGAGGTCTCGTCAAGGCGTAGGACCCCCTGGCCCAGCACCGCCAGAGTCAAAACTCTCAGACCTAGCACCCCCAGACTCAGCACCCCCTATCACCGCACCCCCAGGCTCAGCACCCCCAGGCACAGCACCCCCAGGCTCAGCACCCCTAGTGTCTGCACCCCCAGGCTCAGCACCCCCAGAGACCGCACCCCAAGGCTCAGCACCCCCAGGCACAGCATCCCCAGGCTCAGCACCCCCAGCGTCCGCACCCCCAGGCTCAGCACTCCGAGCAGGACGAGAGTTGACAGCAACCTCAACAGGCTCGACCGGGTCTACCTGAGACACACCTGAGGGAGCGGCACCCTGAGGGGGGAGGGGGTCTACAACAGTAGCACCTGGCGCGAGGAAGAGAGGCGGGGGTGGGAGCGGGGCAGTGCGGTAGGGGAAGAGGCGGTAGTAGGGGACAGACTCGTCAAAAGTGACGTCCTGAGAGGGCAAGACCCGACGCGAGGTGGCGTGGTAAAACTGCCACCCGTGCGCGTCCGGAACAAAGCCGAGGAAGACACAGGGAACAGCACGAGAGGAGAGCTTGTCCGCAGACGAATCGCGGACAAAAGCTCGAGATCCCCAGACCCGGAAACGCGACGCATCGCCAACCTCCCCCGTCCACAGCAGTGTGGGCGAGGTCTCCGGTAAGGAGACACGGGGCCAGAGGTTGAGCTGATGCGCAGCGTACCGGACCGCAAACGGCCACAGAAAGTGGGGGGCAGCCGCATGGATCAAGGAGGTACGAGCAACCTCCATGACCAGGCCAATGCGGCGCTCCGCAACCCCATTCTGCTGTGGAGAGGCCGGAAGCGTGAACGACTGCTCAATGCCGTGCTCAGCACAGTAGGCTGCCAAGAGGTCGGAGGAGAACTCACCACCTCTGTCAGAGTGCAAGCGCAGGACAGGAAAGTCCGAGCGGAAACGCTCGCTGAGCTGGAGACGAGCTCTGCGGATCCAAGGGATCAAAACATCAGGGACCTCACCCTCGGTGCGCAAGGGGAAGACCGTGGTGTAGCGCGAGTAGTCGTCAACAACGATCAGGAAGTACCTCTCCTGACTCTGACCACGGACGCGGGCTGGGCCCCACACGTCCATGTGGAGCGTCTGCAAAGGAGCAGTCGTCGAGGGAAACGAGGAGGAGTGAGGAGCGGCGCGCTGCCGCCCCTCGACACAGTGAAGGCAGGGAGGAGCAGGCGAGGGTGGGAGAGGAGGGAGGACCCTGGGAAGACCAGAGACAAGGTACCGGGAGTGCATGGCACGAAGGCGTTGCACAGACGGGTGACCAATTCGGTGGTGCCAGAGGACAGTCTCGTGCGCTAGAGAGCGACACGAGCAGGGGGCAGACAGCTGACCTGACGCGGACGCAAACGCAGACGCAGACGCAGCGACCTGAGGGGAGGCAGTTTTAAGTGTGTACAGGTCCGACCCCGGCTGCCGGGTGAAGGTAGCCAAGTGGCGGCCCGTACGAGCACACGTGCAGTGTGTCACACGCTCGTAGGCAGGGATAAACTGGTTAACACCCCCGTCCCGGAGAGCACAACCTGCCACCAAGTTCGTGGAGAACGAGGGGAGGTGGAGACCTGACAGTGTGCCTGACGGGACCGCAGGACAGGGAAGGACAGTAGAGGAGGTCGCAATGACCGGACCCCCAGAGGGGTCAGCAAGGGAGACAGCAACTGGCCGAGCAAGGGGCTCAAGGGCAGTGCGGTCACGAAAGAAACAGCGAGAGGCACCTGAATCCAGCGTGAAGGTGTGCAGTGCTGTAGTCGACACCGTACCAGGGGGGGCAGACACGCACGCACCTAAAGCAGCAGCCTCAACCAGCACCTGGGGTAGCAGACACGTGGGTACCTGGAGCAGCAGACGCACTCGTCCGAATGCCCGGGTCGGGCGGGACACTCAGGTACTCAGAACCCTCTCCACTAGTAGACATCACATACATGGCAGAGAGAATAGCATCAAAGTCTAGAGCATAGATGTCAATCCCCTTCTTCAGGAGATCAAGCCAGCGGGGCAGCTCAGTGGCCTGAGGGAACTGAACACGCCAAGCGTCGCTCAGACGAGCAAAGCAACGCTGTGTGGCGTGCGGTCCCCCACACGGCTGGCCAGTGCGGTCACCAGTGCGAATGACGTACGTGCAGCTAAGGCCACCCCCCCCCCCCCCCCCCGTGCTGAGAGTACCACTCACGGACCTCCTGGGGCGAGGGAGTGTGCTGCTGTCCCTGGCCACCGCCAGTGCCTCCACGACCACCACTCCCGCCACAACCTCCTCGACCACCCCAACCCCTGCCGCCGCCTCGTCCACCGCCACCCCCACTGCCTCCTCCGCCCCGGCCACCTCCCCCGCCGCTGCTGCCACCCCCACCACCGCTACCCCCTCCCCCACCCGCGCCACCCCCCCCGCCACCACCTCCCCCACCACCGCCACCCCCGCTGTCACCACCACCGCCCTTGCCCCCTTTGCCCTTGCCGCTGCAGCGTCCGCTCGAAGCAGACGCAGTCCCGACCTTCTCAGCACCAAGGAGGTTGACAGCAGCAGCAGAGGCGACAGAGGGAAGAAGGGGGGAGGGAGGACACCCCTCAAAGAACGGGGCACGGAGGTCACCGCGAGAGGCACCTACAGCGACTATGCTAGTCTCGGCTGCAAGGAGTTGCTTCTCGAGTTGGGCAATGGTGAGCTCGGTGGGGCAGCGAGTGAGGAAGTGGTCCCTGACTGAGCGCAGCGAGTCAGGGAGGCGCGTAACTAGGTGGTAGAGAGTGATCCAGAGTGGGGTTGGGTTCGTGGTGAGGAACTCATCAGGCATAGCGGCGCGGAAGCGAGCCTCACTAGTGCGGAGGTGGGTAATGAGGTCAGCGACAGTGTGAAAGGAAGCTAAGTCGGGGAACAGGTTAGGAAGAGAGAGACGGCCTAGAGCAGCAGAGGCCGGTGAGGAGTAGCGGGCAACGACAGCAGTGTACAGTGCCTGTGCAGTCTTGTGCTGCCCAAAGTGCTCGCGCTTATCTATCGGCAGAGAGTTGCGAATAGCGAAGCGAGCATGGGCGTCACGAGTCTGCCACTGTGAGCAAGCAGTGCTGTCGGCAGTAGCAGCAGGAGCAGTAGCGTGGCCTAGGCGTGATCGTACAGTGAGATGTCTTCCTTAGCAGTGAGCTGTAGGAAGAGGTGTAGGTCATCAAGCCAGGTGTCGAACTTCACTGGGCGGCCCTCAGCATCGAAGGCTAGCACAGGAGGGCTAGCCATGGCAGCAGCAGTAGTAAAAGCAGTAGGAGCAGTAGGGTAGGTAGGGCGGCGAGGCTCGGTACAAGTAGGGCGGCGCGGCTCGGTATAGGTAGGGCGGCTCGGTTCGGGCGGCTCCGGTCGGGCGGCGCGGCTCGGGTCGGGCGGCTCGGTTCCGTTAGGGCCGGGCTGTTCGATGCGGGCGGCGCGGTCGAGGTGGGGCCGTTCGAGGCGGTTAAGGGTGAGCGCGGGGAGCGGGTGGGGTAAGGGACGGGGCCGACGCGAGCCGAAAGGGGTAGGGACGGGGCCGACGCGGGCTGGTAGGGGTAGGGACGGGGCCGACGCGGGCTGTTAGGGGTAGGGACGGGGCCGACGCGGGCCTCTAGGGGTAGGGACGGGGGCCGACGCGGGCCTCTAGGGGTAGGATCGGGGCCGTCGCGGGCCTCTAGGGGTAGGGACGGGGCCGTCGCGGGCCTCTAGGGGTAAGGACAGGGCCGTCGCGGGCCTCTAGGGGTAGGGATCGGGGCCGACGCGGGCCTCTAGGGTAGGCGCGGGGCCGACGCGGGCCTCTAGGGGACGAGCTCGGGGCCGGCGCGGGCCGTTAGGGTTAGGCGCGGGGCCGATTCGGGGCCTCTAGGTGCAACAGCGCGGGGCCTACAGGGCCTCTAGAGGCGTGAACGCCGAGGCGCCCTAGGGCAGGTAGGCAGATAGGCAGGTAGGTAGTGGTGGGCCCTTAGGAAAAACGGTCCTAGGAAGGACCTGCTCTATACCATGTTGAACAAGGAAATGAAATGACTATGAATGAATTGGGTACAAATATGGAAACCTAGAAATGTGTACCCCCTATAGGCTAACCCACTGTAGCCTAAACAACTACAACAATAGATATATTGTTTGACACAGGACGGTGGTGGAGTCGGTGCGGACAATGCTGCTGCACATGGGTGTGCAGCACCACTGGTGGCACCTCGCTCTGCGGCAGGCCGTCTGGGTCCGCAACTGCCTTGAGAGGTCGACGCTGCCGCCGGGGACAACGCCGCACCAGCTGCTGACCGGGAAGAAGCCCGACTTGTCGCTCGCGCGGGTGTGGGGCTGCATGGCGCAGTTCCTTGTCCCTGAGCAGCAGCGTGGTGGGAAGCTGAAGCCGAAGGCCAGGTGGGGCCTGCACCTTGGCGTGTCGGCGGCGAGCAAGGGCTGGGAGCTCCTCGACGTCAACACCGACCGAGTGGTCACCACGTCGGACGTGGTGTTTTACGAGGAGATGTCACTGGCCGAGTGGAAGACGGAACATGGGCCGGTGTCCGGCCGCTCGTCGTCCACCCCGCCCTCTGACACCTCGTCGGCGACGCTGCCGCTGCTTGCCGAGAACGGTGAGCTTGCTACTGAGGACGTCGAGGACGTCCACACCCCTACCCCTCACCCTCTGACCCCTGCCCCTCCCCTCGTGGCCGACCTGCGTGGGCTGACCTCGGTGTCGGCCTCCGGCGATGAGGGGAGTCGTGGGACGCCGCCTTCGTCGCCGGCCAAGTGCATCGCCGGTGGCCGATGTAACGAGCGGCGAATCGACGTGGGATTGCAGACGACAGGGGAGGAATAGGTCGAGGAGCAGCAGCCGACAAGGGAGCAGGCTGCCGTGAAGCCGACCACGGAGCAGTCGGCGACCGGGCCGTCGGCAGGGAAGCCGAACACTGGGGAGAAGTCGGCAGGGAAGCCGACCACAGTGGAGCAGTCGGCTGGTACGCTGACTGAGGAGCAGCAGGACGCCGAGGGCAGCGACGACAGCGACGATGGAGGGGATGCCAAGGGGGTCCAGCCAAGACCACGGCGTTCAGGCCGACTTCGGAGGCCGCCTGACTTCTTTGTCCCCGCTGCCTTCACCACGGTGTATGACGTGGACGATGACGACGACCTGCTGTACGACGACGCCGAGGAGGATGAGGAGTTTCCGGAGCTCGACCCCGACATGCTAGCCGACCCCGAGCACCGTTGGGACATCTCGACAATGACAGTGAAGGAGGCGTTGGCGAGCTGGAAGGGCCCGGCGGTGAAGGCCGCCATGGAGGAGGAGATTCGCAGCCTCATCAACATGGGCACTTGGGAGCTGGTCGAACGCCCGCCCGAGGTGAACGTCATGAAGAACCGGTGGGTGTTGACGACGAAGTACCACATTGACGACACCGTCGAGCTAGAGAAGGCGAGGCTGGTCGTGAAGGGCTTCACACAGGTGTACGGCGCCGACTACGATGAGACGTTCGCGCCGGTGAGCAGCTACGTCACGTTGAGGATCTTCCTCAGCATCGTCGCTGTCCTCAACCTCAACCTGATGCAGCTCGACATGAAGATCGCCTTCCTGCCGAGCAAGCTCGATCGGGTGCTGTACATGTCCCAGCCGGACTACTTCAACGATGGAACCGTCCGGGTGTGTAACCTGCTGAAGAGCCTGTACGGGCTGAAGCAGTCGCCGCTGTTGTGGTACTTGGCGCTCAACGATGTGCTGGTCGGCGCCGGGTGGAAGAAGAGCCAGGTCGACGAGGCTCTTTACTTCAAGGTCGGCGAGGGTGGAGTGGCCTGCTGGGTGCTGGTCTACGTCGACGACCTGCTTGACGCCAGCAGCAGCACCGCGATGCTGAAGGAGCTGAAGGAGCTGCTGGAAGCCGCCTTCGAGCTGCGCGAGATCTCGCCGGTGCAGAAGTACCTCGGGCTGGAGATCGTGCGCGATAGGTCGGCGAGAAAGCTGTGGCTGCACCAACAAGGCTACGCCGGCAAGCTGCGTAGGCGCTTCCTCGACGAGGAGCAGACCGGGCGCACCCCGAAGACGCCGGTCTCGGTCGGCGCATGCGCCGAGCTCGCCTTCGATAACGAGGAGGCGCAGGAACGGCAGGAGGAGGAGTACCGGCAGAAGGTCGGCTCGCTGCAGTTGGCGGCGACGACGACGAGGCCGGACATCGCCTTCGCCTGCAGCAAACTGGGGAGCGGCCTCACGGTGAGGAGCGACCAGCACTGGCGCGAGGTCGACCGCTGCCTCGCCTACCTCGCCAACACGTGTGATACCGCTCTGGAGTTCGGCGGTGGACCTGGGTCACTGGAGCTGGTCGGCTACGTGGACGCCGACGACGCCGGTGACAAGCAGAACAGAACGAGCACGGGCAGCTACGTGTTCGTCTACGGAGGGGCTGCAGTCTCTTGGTCGAGCCAGCACATCAAGTGCGCGACATTGTCATCGACCGAGTCGGAGTACGTGGCGGCCACTGAAGCTGGCAAGGAGGGACGCCGCCTTCGCTTCCTCCTCGCAGAGTTCCGGCAGCTGGACGCCGGGAAGCCAACTGTCCTGCGCGTAGACAACAAGTCGGCCATCACAGTCGCCGAGGGCATGGGGTTGAAAGGCAACCTCAAGCACATGGAGCGGCGACAGGCCTGGCTGCAGCACATGGTGAAGCGCGGGAAGTTCTCGCTGCAGTACATCCCAACCGCTGAGCAGCCGGCCGATTTCTTGACGAAGGCGCTGCACTATCCGGCCTTCAACCGGTGCTCCGTCGCAATCGGCCAGGTGCGCTTGGCCGACGTGAGCGACGGCGACAACGACGTGCAGCAGTAGGTGCCATGCCCTCTTGCATGGCTGGTGCGGTGACCGGCGTGCTGTGTGTTGGGTGCACGCCGACGGGCTTTTCTCGGAGCTGTACTACCGTGTGGGCTAGGGGGGCCAAGCGAGAACGCGGCAGGGGAGTGTCAACGGGAGCGTTGTAAGGCCCCGTCCTCGCTTGGGCGGAGCCAACCTTGTGGTCGGATGTGCGAGGGTTGCAGCCGACCTGCACCAGTGGGCACGGGGGCCACTGCAAGGGCGCCAAGCAGGAAGACGCCGCCTTGGAGGCCTGGTTGGTTTCCCGGACGCCTGGACGGCGTCCTGGGAAGCTGGACGCCGAGCTGGGCGTCGCCACGACCACCCGGACGTCTGGTCGACGTCGTGGGCGTCTGCACGGCGTCCGGGGGTCCGGACGCCTACCTGGGCGTCGGGTCCCGACACCGACCTGGGTGTCTAGTCGGCGTCGTGGGAGGAGGGACGCCGCTCTGGAGATGTGGTCGTCGTCCTGGGCGTCTGGACACCGACCTGGGGGTTCGGAAGGCGTCCTGGGCGCCTGGACGCCGGACTGGGGACGCCGGGCATGCGTGGCCGGCTACGGACTGCGTGGGTCTACCAGGCGTGGTTGCCCGGTCGATCGGGATACCCGGGCGACGTGCGCGAGTGTCGCCAGGGTGGAGATTGCGAGACCGACCTCGGGGTTGGTATCCCGAGGTCGACGTGGCTGGTGGACACAGTCGCTGGCGTGGAGTCTGCCAGGCGTCTGCGTTGTGCACGTGACAAGGAAGTGCGCACCAACCAGCTGCGCGCACCTGCGAAGCAGGTGCACCGTTTTCCTACGGGTGCAACGCTTTGCAGCCCACTTGCTGCAGCACAAGCACACCGTGGACTTGCAACGTTGGCGAACCGCTACTCTACAACGCTGGAGCGGTGCGAGCGCTGCTGCACTGGAGTGCGGTCGACCGTGCTGCGCTGGAGGTCGACCAGCAGCCTAGCTAGCACTGATGTAGTCT